AGATTATATTTTTATTAACATTTTCCAAATGGATCGATAAGATGTAAATGTTCAACCTTCCCTTTAATGTCACGCTCTCTCTAAGAGAGAAAAATAAAACCTAATTCTTTCAACACTATCGTATAAAACATTGGTTAAGCAACAAGTCTCTATGAACATTGATTTATTTAATAATAAACTTAGTGAAAATAATACAATCAACATAAAAAACTAATACATACATAACGCGAGCGCGCGATCGTAACAAGTTGCAATTTAGTGGTACAAATGGGAGTCTTTCTTCTTTTTTTCTTTTGCCGTAAAAGAAATATTTTTTCGATTTATGTTTTTTTTTTTTTCATAATAAAGAGAAAAAGAATTTAGCAATCGCTTCTAAATTTGGAAAAATTTGTATTAAGAGAGAATAGCAAGAAGAAAATAATATTGTATGTTTTAAACAAAATGATCTTTCGGACTGCTTAAAGAATAATCGCACTTTTCATTTATTCATTCAGTTTTTATTGTTATTTCTACATGAAACTACTTGTACTTAGTTATTTAGAACGGAGAGAGGATTACTACGTGTTGCGTTGTGTTTCACGATTTCGTCACGCAAACTCTTTTTTTTTTTTTATTATTGTTATTATAAAATACACTAATTCAAATGGTATATAAAAATATAGTTAGAGAAAAAGAGACTCGATATAGATGGGATTACGTTCTATTGATTTTCTATTTTTCAGTAATCAATCACGGCTCACAAAGAGTAGTCTGCTCTCTCTCTCTCTCTCTCTCTCTCTCTCTATGTGTGTGTGTGTGTGTATATGTGTATCAAATACGCTAACAAATAATAGATCTATATGCACACCACTTCAAAGAAGAAGAAGAAAAATATGAAAAACGAGAAAGCTCACAATGAAATGGTTTTATTTATTATTATTATTACTATTTGTCTCGTTTTTTTCTAATAATCAATGGATCAAAACTTTTTCTTTGAACATATCGATATTGTGTAAGTGAGGTAATAGAATTCGTAATTTGTCCCGTAATAATACCATGATGAGTGGAGTCTTGGGAAAATTAAAATATTTTATAACAACATTAGAGGCAATTTAAACGAGAGAAAGGTGAATGTCACAACGAACTCGAAACTTGAAAATATAAATGCTATTTATGCCTATATTCATTCACTGACGTCAATAATAGTCTCTACATTTTTTTATCATTCTAATTAATAGAAAAGAGTTAAAATGTGTACTCAAAAACCTTAAATTATCAATAGCTCAAAGATAGTTTTTGTTGAGAAGTTTTGTTCAAAAATGCGTAAAAACAACCAACCTTCTTGATTGTTCTTCTCTATTTATGTTGAGCGTGCAGGTACAGAAGTGTCAGAAAAGCAATAAAAGTATTATTTTATTTAATAAAATTACTTTTTATAGAAAACATACTTTTCTCGTTAATAGAATGATGTTTTAGTGAGAACTATAATAAAAAAGATGTCATCATTGATGGTTTATTAACAGTTTCATGTTCTGAAAAAATCTAGTACTATTTTTCAGTTTTTTACACGTTAACATCATATAGCTCTGTGATTGTCTCAAAGGAATCAGTATTTATTTATATTTACGTTTTGTGAATTGAGTATATGATTGATTGTATATCTTTAGAGAACAAAAATAATACCAGAACATAGAAGATCTAGTTAGTCAATTGTAGATAGCGTTGTTATACACAATAACACTCAATCACAACGCTTTATCTGTTTCAAAAAGTGTATTTCATTTTAGTCAATGAAAAAAAAAAGGTTTGTACACATATTCATTCTTGTTAAGTTTAAATACTTACATTGAATTGTTAATAAAATTCTCTCTATTGATATTTTATTCTGATTGACATAAACACTTATTACTGTTTTTCTTTGTCTATTTTTAGACCTAAATAAGATATTTCAATGAAGTCTGCTGATAATTTATATTACATGTAAGTATTATATTAAGAATCTTCCTTATACTTTTATGCAATAGTATGGCATGATTGGTTAATTATTGAGTTATGTAGTTCTGTCGAAAGTGATAACTAATATAAAGAATCAGAAAATGAAAAGTTTTAGTCATAAATGATTAGCAGGTGTATCATATGTGATGATGTGGAAGAGAGAAGAAAAAATCGCAACTATTTATTTTTATTTATCGTTTCTATCAAAGAAATATACTATATAATCATTAAACCGCTTTATTATGACATTATGTATCCAAATATCTATACAAAATAGGAGAACAGTTCACATATTTATCCATGTACGAGCTATTATCATTCAAGTTTTTCTTTCGTCTATGATCAGAAATGAGAATAAAAATCGAGAAATTAAAAGAAAAGAATATAAAATCATTTTTAGTTTTTTAAGATCAATTTTTGGTTTTTACTGAACTACTATCGAATAACTAATATTTTTTTTAATTACAACAAACATATAAGAAACATAATGACGATGAAATTCATTTTTTTGTGTTCTGTTTTGACCAATTCTTTTCGCTTCTCAAAAAAAAAACAAAAGTTATGTACCACCTATCGTTAAATGAATAAACTTTGTATGTTGATGATTAACTTGAGAGACCGGAACTAAGGCTAAAATTTCTTCGTATTCAGACATTATTACAATGTTAATGAAAAATCAGTTATATAATGCCGTTGAAGATTTTCCAATTAAGAGTGCGAATAGTTTTCTATCATTCTCTTGAAATCATGTCTCTTCTTCGAAAAGAAAGATCATCTTAATTGCCTCAAGACAGAGGCAAACGTGCATTTGAGCATTTATAACTGATATAATTCTAATTCAATCTGATTTTGATGACAACTATAACATGTTCATATCGATAGATTATAAAAGCATCAAAATGTTATATACATTTTGAAAACAAAGTAAAGAAAAATTATCGATATGATATTACTTTGACATGCACCATGTTATTATTTGATTAAACGAAAAGAAACATGTTCTTATGAACTTAGTAGTCTATATCTTATTCTAGTATCAAAATCATGTAGAATAAATTTTGCTTCGGTAGCAGATACTTTGAAGATAAACAGCATAACAAATACATGTCAGAATAGTATCTTTCTTCCCTATGCAAGGACAGCTGTAATCAATTATCCCATCATTAGTACATAAAAAATTTGTAATAGTCGGTTTTATACATGGAAAAAATGAATGACAACACAGAATCATAAGTAATTTAATGGTATACCATTGTATAGTAATATAGATTCATTGGTTTTACTACATAACATATGACTATAGAAATTTACCAGACATGAGCTATTAAGGAGAAATATATTGGTCTTAGATATTATTATTTACTATCGAACGATCATATCTAGTCGATTTTAACAAATTCTGTAAAATATAAACTAAACTTATAGAAAATAGACTTTAAACTTTATTAAAAATTAGAGATTTGAACGTTAAAAAGTTATGTATTTATAGACACTATCCTTAATAAACATATGTTTGAAAGAAAGTGTCTTATTCAACTATCTTGTTGACATGTTACCATCTGCTGAACCATTAATTAAGCTAGTAGTTATTTGAGTCCTAGGGTTATTATTTTTGCTGCATTTATTTATATGACATTAGATAAGTAAAAGTTTATTGTTGACTATTTTTGATTTAAATAGTAGCATATGAAAACAATCGAAACATAAGATGTATGTCACATATGGATCACTATTAATCTTTTATATAAAACAAAAACTTTTCCTCCGATTTCCATATTTTAAATGATACGGTGTCTACAATTACTATTGCTTCAATTACATATTTGATAAAAATGTTTTGTCGCGTTTAGAACAATCGTCTATTTTACCCCCTTTTCCGGTATATATTTGTCTCTCCTCTTTTTCCTCTATATTAGTTATTGTATCTCATCATCATCATCGACTTTTTAGCATTTATAATGATTATCACAAAGAGAAGAAAAAGGATGTTTCCCATCTATAATGAACCTAGTGAGAGTTTTAAAATACATACATTTTGTATGAAAGAATACAAGTCATCATCAGACGCAATGGAGATCTTTGTATATAAATAATAAAAAAAAAAAAAATTTCTTTATATCCTAATTGAGTCTAAGGAAAAAGAGGAGAAAAGAGAGAGAGAGAGAGAGAACGCTTATACATATGTATGGATGTATGTGCGTTATCTAAGATAATCATCCGCTTCGATGGTATACTGTATAATACTCTATTAATATTATTTAGAAGAAGAATAGAACAACTAGACATCATGCCCTCTTTTCTCTTTTTTTAGAGATTTTGATCATCGTCATCATTATTATTATCAGCATAAAATTGTCACTTAGATGTATTTCTAAAAATTGACTATACTCTTACATAGAGATAATCATAGACGAATAAAAAAAAAAAAAAAAATAGAAAGAAGAAAAGCCACTTAGTTTTTTCTAAAAATTAAAAAGGATGGTTGATTTTTTTAGTACATGTAATAGTTTTTAAGTTTTAAAAATGTTTCATTTCGAAAGCAGGTGAGATTTTCTCATTTAATCATTCTCTTACAGAAAGAAGAGTAGAAGAAAAAAAAAATTCTAATATATTATAATAAGATGCCATCACTTGTTAAATAGCTTAGCAAAAGATAGACAACAAGTCGATATGTTTTGTGGTCACGCTGAAGGAGAACATCACAAATAATAAACAAAATTTTTACTTATTCAATTTTATATTGATTTTTATTAGTTCTAGGACATTCCACGACATTAGTAAAATATCTATTAACAAAAATTATGAAACAATTTTATTAACCAACTTGATGATTAAATACCAAGATCAATTTTTAATAATTTATGTATCATCTTTATAATAGAAAAAATTTAAAAAAAAATTTATTTTCATCAATTTGACAATTTACTGTCGATATTATATTAGATCAATTATTTTTTTTTAATATACCGATAGCCGATGCGTTCATGCTGGCCAAATTATCGTTCGGCTAGTTTATTAAAACTAACATGGACTTGTTTGCTACTGTATCACGTCTTCCATTTTCTGTATTAGGTCCACATCGTAGTGATACATGTACTGTTGATCGTTTAAATTATAAATATACAGTTATTCTATTAGTTATATTTTCAATTGTTGTTTCAAATAAACAATTTTCATCTGATCATATAGCTTGTTGGGTTCCAGGACATTTTACTCGAAGCTACGAAGTTTATTCAAATAATATTTGTTGGGTGTCAAATACTTACTACGTACAAGAAACAGAAACATTACCATTGGATGAAACAAAGAAAAAAGAACGAGTTGTTAAGGTTTGTTATTATTTTATCAAATTAATATTAAATACTCTTCTATTATTAAACTTTAAATTACTCATTTTTTTTTCTTATTTTTTTAGTATTATCAGTGGACACCATTTATTTTATTATTTCAAGCTGTTTTATTTTATTTACCACGAATGATGTGGCGTTCATTAAGTGCCAAATCAGGTATTAATATTGTTAATTTAGTTGATGCTGCTTTAAATTATCAAACGGCTGATCGTTTTGAAGATCGTCAAAAAATCATGTCTTATTTGACTAAAAGTATTGATCAATATGTTTATATGAGAAAACGTAAACGTAAACGATTTGATTTTATTCGACGTTTAATTGCTTTTATTCTTTGTGTACCTGGTCGTAAAATGGGCTCATATTTACTTATATTATTTTTTGTTACAAAAATTTTATTTATTGCTAATGCAATTGGACAATTATTTCTATTGAATATATTCTTAGGACATAATTTTGCATCTTATGGTGTTGAATTAATAAAAAAAATTTTAAGTGGAGAAGATTTAACTGAATCAGTCTATTTTCCAAGAGTAACAATGTGTGAATTTGCAGTAAGAAATATACAAAATGTTCACGTACATACTGTTCAATGTGTATTACCTATTAATTTATTTAATGAAAAAGCATTTTTATTTATATGGTTTTGGTTAGCATTTTTGACTATATGTAATTCATATGATTTATTAGCGTGGTTTGTTCGTTCATTCGGTCGTGTACGATATCAATATATTAAAAAACGTTTAGAATTAATGCAAAGTGACACACATTTAAGACGATTACCAGCTAAAGAATTTATTTATCGTTATTTACAACATGATGGTGTATTAATATTAAGACTTCTTGCATATAATTCCAGTGATCTTGTTGTGACAGAAGTTATACAAAATTTATGGAGGTTTTATAAACAATATCCTACAGGTGGACAAGGTGGTGGTGGACCGGGAAGTGCATCATCGGCCGCATCGAGTGCTGCTCAATCATCAAGAGGAAGACAGGTTAGTCTACGTATATTAGATAGCATTAACAAAGATGAGTTATAAATGTTTTTTTTTTCGTGTACATTTATTTTTTCTGAAAATCACCACTTGTTGTATAATTATATAGACTAAAATTTTTTGCATAAAAATATTTATATTTTTTATCTTGACTTTTTATGAAAAAAAAAAATGAAAACAAAAGAAGAAGAAGAAAAAAAAATCCCAACATCATCATCACTAAAAACACTTTTTTCATTTCAGAAACTAAAAAAAAATGAAAAAGAAAATTGTCCAAATACATTTGTACACGCATTTGCATGAATTTCTTTCTTTTTTTTTTTGTTTTGTTTTTAGAAAAAATAAAAGTTAATATTGTTATGAAACACACACATACATATGCTAATATATTTTGCTTTATAGCAATTATAATCCTATAAATCATTATTATAATTTTGCTACATTACTTATGGAGAATAAAGAAATGATTGTTATATACATCGATCACAAATAGAATCGAGCAATAGAAAAATAAAAATTTGCGTATTTTTAAACGCAAAAAAAGTTCTTCAAGAAATAGCGTCCATTTTCTAAACGATATCGAGTTATGTAAAATTCATTTAACAGCTTTATTGTATAGTAATAGTTCAAAACTTTATTTGTTGTTTGTTGGGCTATTATTCAGCTTGCTTTCAAATGTTTCAAGAAAACTAAACGTAACAAAGTAAACAGTTTTATTTAAAAAAAAAAAAATGGAAAGTTTCAATCTAATAGAGTTTCCAGATATTCTATGTTAGTCGTATATATTTTATTAATCAATCGATCAATAAAATACAGAAGTCTTTCCCTTTTACTTATTCTCTCACCGACATCATACGTGTCTTTTTTCCTATAAGATATGTTCTATGCTAATCATTACTAACGACTGTCATGTAAATATGTCCTCTATTTGACAAAGTCAATATTAAACAGATGTTTTTAGATATTGTCTTTTTCTATTGTATTATTTTGAATTAAGAGTTATAGCTGAATATCTTGAAACAAAAACTACAAATATCTTCTCTGTGGTTTTCATTGTTGTATTGCAAAAATAAATAAATAAATAAATAAATAAATAAATAGGGAAAAGAAGAGAGAAAATGAGGAAAAAATTAATCAAGATGATATTTTTTTCGTAAGTCAATTAACGATCGATGTTCGATGATGTGTATTACACTTTATATACATCAGAGGTGGGTGGTGATAAAAAAAAAAAAAATCTTTTCTAGAAAAGAGGGAATAAAACGATTCTATGTAGTAGACTGCTGTTTATTATATAAAATTATGATTTGTCATATATACATAACAAATAATTTTTGATGTATTATTACTAATTTTGATACATTGTCATTCTGTTAACATACGATTTTCTATAATCAAGAAATAAATGAATTATATGGTTAATATGTTATCTGTTTAAACTATTAGTTTTTCTCTCTTGAAACTTTTATGCGAAATGGTATATGCTTATTATTTTATGCAAAGGTCAATTTAATCAAAAATATTTTTTTGATGTTTTTGTCTGGTGTCCTCACAGTTCGTCCCAAATTGGCTTTGTAAGATCAAACAACATCAAAGGGGCGAGCAGGTGTGAGAGTGAGCAATTTGGGACGAACAGAGAGTAAACCTTTTTGTCTATTGTATTGTTTTCTTTTTAAAAAATTTAAGTTGTATTCTTTTAATCAAAAAATTTCGTTTTTTCTTTTTATTTTCAGAAAACTACGATGATGGATGGCAACAATTCATTGTTTGGTCTCAATCCAACATCATCACAGCAACCACTCTATTATTTTTCACATCATCAAAATGAAGATCATGGACGTTCCTAGTATTATTTAACTTGTAAGATGTTTTCTTTCTGTTAACATGTTTCATTATCTCTCAGTGTATGTAAATAAAATTTTGTGTATTTGTTTCTTTCTGTTTCAATTTTCTTTTTTAAACATATATACAACGGATTTAGGGCCAAAATAGAGAAACAACGATAAAATAAATAATTTTATTTCCTAATTTTGTTAGATATTCACGGATTTCTAGTCGATTTTTTCTTATACTATTTATTTTCAATCAATCAATAGTGAATATAAAACTACTAAAAGTACTTTTTTTATATCATATATGCCCATATTATCGTTTTTATCTGTTAATATAAAATTCCTATAAAACATGCAATTAATGTCTATTCCTTAATCATGAAAATAAACTATTAGTCAGTCTAATAAGCAAAATATATCAATGGCTTAAAAAGTTTAGACTAGGAAAACATGACTGCTGTATAAATAACACTGTTCATGATTATCATAAGTAAACATGATCATACAAGAAGAAGAAAAAATGTTCTAACTAAACAATAATAAAAGAAAACAAATATACATGTATATCGGTCAACATATACCATAATCAGAGATAAACAAAATTATCTTTTACAATAGAAAAATTCGAACAAAAAAACTTTCGTCTTTATCACTCATATACATCAGTAATTATTAGATGATTTATCTTAGGATTAAAACAAGTTGTTCATTTACTTTACTAGTTATTGTTGACATATTTTTATTATATAATATTTTCATACTTTTGTTTTAAATTCAAATAATCAACTAATTGTTCGACATATCTCGTAATTTTAATCTATTAAATTGATGATTATTAGATTATAATTTTTATTCATATAACATTTTCGTGTTATTCATTTCTAATCGATGGCGTGAGTCAAAGATACGTCAATTCATTGTGTAATTTGATTTTAAATATTGATTCACTGCCAATATTTCTTCTTTCGAACGATTTAAACATGCAACATTTTTATCCTCTAAGATTCATTCGTTCATATTTCGATTAATATTTGTGCTTTGGTAGTACAATTTTGATTTTCAAATATAATTGATGATTGTTACGGAAATTTTGTGTTTTTTCCGAGGCTTCATGATTCAGACCACTTTTTTTTTGATGATTATTAATTAGATTTAAAAGTGGTCTCAATCTGGAAGTGAAAATTTTATAGTAAAAAAAGCGGTCGCAATTTGGAATGTATATGCTCTCTCGTTTCTTATACAAATAAAATGTGGTCTCAATTTGTAATAGAAAGTTTGTTCCTTTCACATACTTTGTATACTGTTTAGAATTTCGAATCATTCTGTAATTGGGAATGATTGACTGGCTACTGTAGACACAGAAACTGATTAAAAATTTTTTCTAAATTGAGCTGAGAATGACATTATCGGATAGATGAGACGATGAAAATGAAGAGTAGCACTACCTTAGAACACAATATCTCAATTCGATTTCCTCTATTATGTCCCCAACTCTACATTTTTCTCGTATTAAAACTGAAAAAAACCAAGATGGTATATTATATAAAAGTTATCTATATCGTTTAAAGCGCTCAAATAAAAACGGAACTGAAAAATGGATCTGCACTCGTAATTTTTGTTCGTGTTCAATAACCATAAAAGATGATGTCATAATTAGTAGAATTATTTCAATGAAAGCCTGGATTTAAAAGCTTATCAAGCAACGTTACGATCATTAAGTTATCGTTATATAGTTGTGTTAGATAATGATTCTAATTTTAAGATGATGACGAGTATGAACCTAAAATATAACTGTCTTGTTTGTTGTATTCCTTCCATTGTAATATATTTGTGTATCTACAGTAGCCAATCATTTCTACGTATAGAGTGATTCGAAATTATAAACAGTGTATAAAGTATGTGAAAGGAACAAACTTTCTATTCCAAATTGAGACTACATTTTATTTGTATAAGAAACGAAAGAACATACACTCTAAAAAAAAGTCGTAGATTAATAAACTACAATAAGAAAGTTTTTTGAACTAAAAAACTGATCAGAAAACCCAAAAGAGTTTTTTAACGAGTTTTTTAGGTCAAAAAACTAAAACGGGTTCGTGGTCGCTTCAAAATGAAAAACTCACGGTTTTTGGGAGAGCTTTTTGTGTCTAAAAATTTTTTTGGTCATTTTGAAAACCGAGGAAAAAACTAACAGGTTTTTTTAAAGAGCTTTTTAGACCCAAAAAACTCTCCCAAAAACCGTGAGCTTTTTATTTTGAAACGACCACGAAGGCTTTTTAGTTTTTTGGTCTAAAAAACTTGTTAAAAAACTCTTCTGGGTTTTTTTATCAGTTTTTTACTCCAAAAAACTCTTTTATTGTAGTTTATTAATCTACGGCTTTTTTTTAGAGTGTATACATTCCAAATTGAGACCGTTTCTTCTACTATAAAATTTTCACTTCCAGATTGAGACCACTTTTTAAATCTAATTAATAATCATCAAAAAAAAAGGTGGCCTCAATCATGAAGCAGCCGTTTTTTCTATCATTGTTAAGTTTTAATCAAGAATTGACCGTTTTTGTATCTAAAATGATAAAAGTAGATCTGTAGCCACTGTTTTGACCTACAGACGGGTGAAAAACAATAACTGCAACGTCAGAAGTGATTATAGATAAAGATCATGGGCATGGGTATACAACTGAGTTTCTATTCCTGTCAAACTCACCTGATGATTACGTTAGACTATGAATTTTCTTTCATCTTACCAGTTGTCATATCGTCTGATATTCTAAAATTCGTTTCTAACAAATTTTGTTAGCAACAGAAATCTGACACCAGTTTTATGGCCACGAATTTTTTAAATTTTTTCTATAGGCATTGGTATTATTTTTCAACTTCATAGGTATGAGCGTACTCTCTAAAAAGAATTGGTACGTTACGAAACCCTTTTCTGCTTGAGGTTTCGAATGCGTTTCAAATGTTGAGACCTATTGGTCTACGAAACCTAAAATGGTTGGGCAAAAACCTATGAAACCCCAAATCGTTCTGTAATGACCTATAAAACCTTAAATAGTTTTGACAGTTGATGCGAAATTTTAACATGGTTTCGCACAAAGCTTTCTCGATTTTGCAACCTAATGAGTTTTGTAGGAAACCTTTTGCAGTTTTGTACCAAAACAATGTTAAAATTTCGTATCAGTTGTCGAACTATATAAGGTTTTGTAGGTCATTACAGAACGATTTGGGGTTACATAGGTTTTCGCCCAACCATTTTAGGTTTCGTAGACCAAAAGGTCTTAACGTTTGAAACGAATGCGAAATTTCAAACAGAAAAAGGTTTCGTCAGGAACCAATGCTTTTTAGAGAGTGGATGATGGATACGAGAAAAATGTGGGTGCAGGTGTTTACTAACAGATCGGCAGTTGTGAGTAACCGCATCTTTTATGAGTCAGCCACTCTACTGATTAAAAATGATCACTTTAACTACTAAATACACCATTGATTGGTTTATGAAGTCGCGTACATTTGCAACTGGTATTATAAGTGTTGAATGGTGACTGGGTTTTAGTTGCTAAAACTTCTGTGACGTTTCACACGAAAATGTTGTACCTATAAGCAGCGGGATTGTATAATTCTTCCTACGTTTACTGACTCATTTGAGTTTTTAAATAATTAGTAAATCTCGCCCGCCACTATTCCATTAAATTAATGTCGCAGGAGTGGTTATTTTTCTTTAAGCGCTACGCTACATTCAACAATAATAAAAAGTCTCTGTAAAAAGAATCAGATTAACTCTGCACTTTTTCCTTCTGACTAAGCTGGGACAATATTTCATACAGTCTTTAGGTCGCTTCACGTGCGAAAAAATATCCGTTTATTCTAAATTATGAAATTATTCAATAAAAAATTGTTACAAAACTGGAAACAACGCATTTTGCAGCCACCAGGTTGGTTTATCAAGACACGTTTTTTTTGACAGTGCGGGAAAGAAAAAACGTTCTCAAAATTTGAACACTACATATTCGTGGTTAGCTCGAAAAACACTATGGAAGGGTGTATCATAAGTCCAGAAAAAAATTTTGCTTCATTTTTGCATTAACTGCACCTTACCAAAATATGGAATCAACGAATGAATTATCTGAAGAATTGACATCGCTATTCATATCATACAAGTTCATGTTGAACGATGGCGTTAAACTCGCGAGCTCCATGTGTCGTCCTTTGTGAACGATGAAGGTCGCTATTGGACATGTTATAGGATGTTGTCGATGTTGACCAGGGGATACCATCAGAGAAGCCGTTTTTTCAGGTGGAATAACACTACTGGCAAACCTACGCCGTTTCAAGAACGAGAAAATGACATACATGGTTGTGCCATATTGGTCTTGTGTATCGGTGGCTGGCATTGAGGCAGGAATACATTTGAGACCATCACAGCAATGAAAATCGGTCAGACCCAGCGCACTTGTATTGTAATTCAATCGACTTTCATCCAAGCAACGATGGCTTAGTGGGGACTATGGACAAAATTGAGTTTGCGCGGATAAAGCGGTGATAATGACTAACAGAGCAATGATGAATTCAATCGTTCTCATCTTGTCATAAGCTAGATGTCAAATAAGAGCACACTAGTACACTCTAAACTACGCTTTTTACTTCATAATGACGCTTCATACTTCTTATCTTTATTTTACATGCGTGTGAAGAAAAAGAGAGTCATCATCATTATGACGTATCGTTACATTCTGATTAGAATCGCCATGCCATCACTACTTTCGGTGGTTCCGATGTTCTATATCCGAAATGATACCAAAAGCCGAGAATGATATTGAACAGAGGCATAAAATGACATGAAAGAATAGCAGAATGGCACGTGAATAGATTTTGTGACACACGATTGGAAATGAGTGTTGAAGTATATAGCGAGAAAGGACAGGGTGGGTTTGATAGTAAATCGATCCTATTTGAAAAATTAGAAGAAATTCAATGTATCATACATAGTTCTTTGGAGCTTGAGCTCGGCTATCTTGGAGTATTAT